CGCAAAGCGAGCTGCGCTGTACTGCCGAGTGATTCCCTGAGCCCCTCCGCCAGCGCAGCTCCTCACTCCTGTCTGATGACTGTCGCTGCGCTGCTGCTCAGGGCTGAACTCCGAGCTCTTACCTGCTTGTCTTGTGTTTCAGGTCTCCCCTGGCTGCTGTCCCTGCCGCCTGCACAGGACCCATCCCGCACTGACCAGACTGCTGGCGCTGGACAGGAAATCGTCATCCCGGACGCCGTTACTTGTGATTCTGTAACTCACTCTGTATTTTTTTTGTTTCATTGTTGCCAACTGTCTTTGATTTGTATGCTTGCAAAACTTAATAAAGAATTTTGACTTCTGTCTTACTTTCTTATTTTGTAACCTAACAAAAAGAGGACCGAGCCCCGCACATAATGCATATTCATGAGGGGTGTGGCTAATGAAGGGGCGTGTTGTATAATTACGCAAGGGTTGTCGTATTATTCATAAGTGGGTGTCACCAAATGATTACGTCACACCAGCCAATCAACATGTCTGGATGAGAGCCCACCTCCAAGATTTTTGCTCTCAGGTGATTGGTCAGTTTTGAAGCACCACTTCAGTTATAGGATAAAACCCCATTTTCTCTATTCTGATTGGTTGAAATACCTGTCAATCAAATCACCACACCCCCAACAATGACACCATTCTTAAGGGTTGCAAAGGAACAAGTAAAAGGTTTATTTCTTGTTGAAAAAAAGAAGAGAACACGTTGTGTTCTCTTTCTTCTTTTTTTCAGCATGGAATAAACCTATTACTTGTTCCTTTGCAGCCTACGCATGCTGACGCAGCTCCCCACCTGAATTCTTAAGGGTTGTCTTTTTATGATTGACAAGACGTTTAGCCCAATCACAGAAGTCCATCTCCAAGACCAGCCCTGGTGAGATTTGCTTAATACTAATGAACCTTAATTCACTTGATACATAAACATTTTTCTCATTATACTTAATTAGCATTATCAGAATATTAATTGATAATTTGAATATTAGACAGATACCCCTTTTCTTTTTCAATTTTCCTAAGAAATTTTAAATTTTTTAGGTCACACAATTTGAAACGGCAACCGAGATTTTTAAAATACATTCTCCAAAAAAGACAAATAAGCCAGGAGTAAAATAAATTTAAATTTTATTTGTTCAGTACAAGTGTAAACATACATTTTAGAAACCAAAAAGCATTCGAGTGAAAACGCTTCCCAGAGCAAAAAATAAAAACAAAACATAAACCGCAAAAACAGAAATCATTAAACCAGAACTCATTAAAATACAAGTGATTGGTCAACTGATTTAAATACAAATTTAAATACATATGACAGTGTTAACGCCGACATCTTACTAACAAAACAAGCAGTAGGAAAAAAGGCTGTTAGGAATCGTACATAAATGGTACATAAAGTATGAAGAGATCTAGGCTGTGACACTGCTGCTATCTGACCATCACAGGAATCCTGTGTGTCTTCAGCTCCTCCTCTGAGCTGGGATGATGATCACATGTAGAAGAGTGAGGAGTGGGGTTAGTAGTGGGGTTAGGGAGTGGATATGCCATCAGCATCTGAACTCAGAGGAGGAGCTGAAGACACTCAGGATTCCTGTGGTGGTCAGAGATCACTGTGAATTATCAGCCTTTATTTGAAAAGATCAGGAACATTAGTGGCAGAGGAAGAAGTAAAGGAAAGTGTGAAGAGATCTAGACTGTGACACTGCTGCAGCTGTAGTGAAGGAGTGTCAGTGTGATGTCAGGGTACAGAGATCTAAACCAACTCACCCTGTCAATCCCAGAGCCAGATTCTGACTCTTCACAGTCTCGGTCCTCAGTAGAGGGAGGAGCGGCAGGAGGCAGCAGGGAGCTGGATGTAGGGATAGCAGGAGGGGGATAAGAAATAAGTCATCATGAAACAAGTAATAGGTTTCTTCCAGGCTAAAAAGAGAAGAAAGAAAACACAACGTTTCAGCCGTGGAGCCTTCTTCGGGTGTAAGAAAGATAGGGCAGTCAGACTCCTGAAATATAACATTCACTTTTAAAGGTTTAAGGATAAAGTTTTCCAAGCCTATGCAGAACAGTTTTGTATACAGTATGTACAGGTAATGAATAATTGTGTCAGTTTATTTTCCAGCCTTACAGAGCACACAAGTCATCTACTTCATGAACAACTTTAAATGTTTCTTTAACCTTGTTGGTAAGACAGTGTCTATCAGGAGCTCTCCAGACTAATTTCAGGTAATATTTTCAAACACTGTATTCTAGAAGGATATACAGGAATGAAACAGTTCAAACAGATTCCTCATCTAGTTACAATTGCATTTGTATCCTTAATCTCCACCCCACGCAAAAACAAAATAACTAAATCAGGAAGGCTGAAGCTGAAAGAATTAAAGTTGATCAAACTCACCACTTTCTCGGGAACAGCGTCGGAGACTGTGGGGGATTCCTGAGTGGTAACTGGACTCTGGAATCAATCCTGAAATTCAGAGAAAGTCAACAATCAACCCTCTGTGTTTAACAACTGTCCCACTAACTACACCTAATTATCACACCCTGTCTGAAAGAATATACTTTTATTTTTGTATAATGTATTTGTCTTTCCTTATACAGTGAGCATGTGGTGAGAAATTATTTTTAAATATGAATTTTCTAGATGGTAAACCCAGCCTGCGAAAGCTGGAAAAATCCAAAATACACTTTTAACAGAAAGTCCAGATCACCTACTGTATATTTTTCAAAGACCAAAGTGGGATTCAGGTTCCATAGATTAGATTTGTTTTTAAGAAACAATCGAGTTGATTTTGAAGGCGATATTTGAGGTATAAAACTTCTAAAACAGCAGCCACCCTGGGTGCTGGGGCCACACAAGATCATGTTATCTGACATAATGGGGTTTATTCTTTAATATGAAGTTATAAAGTAATCGGTCAGAATCATCACTAACGTGTTTAGGAAGCTCCAGTGATATTGATATGATAAAAATCATTTATACGTTCAACTGTATCAGCCAGTTCTCTCCTGTACTTCAGGAACACAGGAGTGTCATCTGCCAGCTGACAAATCTTGATTTCTGTCTGAAATATCAATATAGCTCACGGTTACATGGTTTGAGTTACTCATAAACTAAAAACTAACGGTTTTAGTTTATACCTCGGAGAAAGAAACGAGTTTTTCTTATTGCAGTTCGAGGTCGGAGCTGCAGAGGTTAATTCTGGCGGAAAAGTTTCGCCTCCTGATCTTCTTCAGATGTGCCAGAAGAAAGACATCAGACTCCGAGATCATCCCTGACCGCTGCGGAGCTCAGCTCTGACTGAAGCAAACCCCCACGCTCTTCCTGCAGAGTCGCGTTTACATGACGTCATCGACACCAGCCTCACCTGCGCCATGCGCTGTGGAGTCGCTCACCGGCAGCAGGTGAGTTCATTCTCGCTGGAATTGCTTACTTTGTTTATTAGTTATCTGTGAACTGCTGAATAACTCACAACGTTAAGTTTTTGTATTGCTTTAAGTAACAAATTAAATACGGAAAAGGTTCTTAATTTTTTGTTGTCCATTTGAACACAAAGCAACATCGAATGACTTCCAGGGACCTGCAGTGGTTTTCTCGTTCACAGGTTGTCGCTGAGGTTGTGTTCACGACCCGTTCAGAAAGGACTTCATATTTAGAACCGACACCAGCGACAGAAGTCACACACCCGTCTGTGCAACTACCCGGTAGAGACGTGTTCACACAAACTGAGCTCCCTGGCTGCTGCCAGGTGTTCACGCAGGTCCTGCCTCTGGGACTGAATACTTGTGTACTGAGCCCATCTGAGAGAGAAGAATGTTTTACTGATATTCAGCTCCTTGCTGTATATATATTGGGGTTCACTTTCATCAGTATTGATCATTAAAAAAGAGAATCCATGATGTTCCTGGTGGAGAGTTGACTCGTCAGGTGTCCTAGAGAAAGTGTTAAACCAGCATCACACCTTCCTCCAGCTCCTAATGGGATTTCAGAAAAGACAAGGGGCAAATTAATAAACTTCTCTCTGTTTTTAATAAAGTTACAGCGAATCCAAAGACAAAAGCAGGAGTCTTTCAACACAAATCATTAAACTTCACTGTCTATTACAGGGTTCATTCAGCAACAGAACTATAAAATCTTGATTAATGAATGAATTTGAGTACAGGAGACAGGGGTTTAACTGGCATGCCTGACTGCTGTCTCTAATGCCACTGCTGTCTCCCCCCCTCAGAACCAGCTACCAGAGCCCGAGCTGACTGAAGACAGTTATTCTGCTGCTCTTCACTAGAACAGGAGCCAGTGGACAAGATCACCTCCAGACTCCAGCATGAAGGAACTCTGAGCCTCATCCTGACCCAAATATTCATCTACAGGCACAGTGGAGCCACACAGTAAAACTGCAGGATTAAAACATCACCTGGTCACCTCGCTGTTGTAAGAATCACCTCTCATGATGTTATTTCATCCCAAGAAATTCTTAAAACATTAAAGAAAAATATATATAAGAATATACACAAAATATGTGTTTTCTGGATCTTTTGACTTCTTTTTAACTATTGCAATTAACAGTCAATTAAAAAATGGTTCCTGTGCATTTATCATAATATACAAGCTTTATTTCATGTGTTATAAACATACTGTATAAAATTTGCTGAAGCATTCAAAACAAGTAACACTCATCATAAGCGATCGTCATCGCAGAGAAAGTCCCCTCCACCAATTTGTCTGTTACACTGAGGGTTGACTGTAGTTCCATTCAGTCTCACAGCTGCAGTGATTGTAGTCAGACAGTAACAGCACTGAGGACACCTCTTCACTGAGATCTGTTTGTACAGAGCAGAACTGTTCAAAGAGAGCAAGACAGTTCAGGGTCAAATTAATTGAAGTTAAAAGTCCCTGAATTTCACATTTTTGGAATAGGGTTTTACAGCTCTAAATATACAGCATCAAGTTGAAAATGGATCAAGATGACAATTCTCCCCAGTGAAGCAGGTGGACACAGTTTTATCTTGGTAACAAATACAGGTCACATCTCAACACTGCTGGAGTAGGACGGGCTCATGTGATACTGAGGGCATCGGGAATACCGAGAGGAGAATCCCTTTAATTTCACACAAGGCGTTTGAGCAGAAGTAGAGAAAGGTGCAGAGAGACAGGATGGAAGTACAGCAGAGTGAACTCTTACACACGATATCAGAGCTCATGTTGCTGCTGGTGTTTGTGGGCTGGACGGTCGAGGGCTGATGGAGGTTACATTAACAGTGTGAAGGAGATGGTGGTAACAGGAGATACAAAGAATCCAGAAGGAAACGGAACTAGGAGCAGCTGTAGGGTTTCAGGCTGTAGGCTGAAGTCAGGTGCAAGGTCATGTAGAAGCAGACAGGAGGGGATACAGGCAGTAGATCTTCAGCCAGGCACAGGCAGTGGGAGGAAGGATTAAAGGACAAATACAGATGAAGGAAGAGACACTGGATCCAGGACAGTGAGAAGAGTGGGAACAAGAAAACAACAGATTGTGCTGTAGATACTGCAGTGGGGAGCTGTGTCAGTGTGTTGTCTGCAGAGGAACAAGATGAATTCCTCTGAGAAATAGAAAGGAAAGGCTAAAGACGACTCGACAGCCAAATGTTTCTCCTTTCCGTCTCTCAGCTTGGAATGAACCTTCACCTGTTGTTTTAATACTGAGGGAGAAGAGTCGGAGGGGGACTCAGCTGGAGGCCTGGCTGATTGAGCACATCAGTCCACAGCCTCATCAGACCAGCAGGAGGAGAGGAACTGTGTCGGAGGCAGCGCAGACAAGAGCAGGAGCAGCCCCAGGGCCACAGGCAGGGCCACAGGCCAGCAGGAGGAGTCTGCTGACTGAATGCTCAGGTAGCAACAGGAGACTAGTGGTGACAGAGATACAGGTAAAGCAGCGACAGAAGATGGAGCTCTAGACAGTTACAGAATAGGAGAGAGGAGCTGTACATGAGATTTCCAGGAGATCAACACCAGGGACTTCAGTGCTGCAGCTGTAGTGAAGGAGTGTCAGTGTGATGTCAGGGTGTAGAGATCTAAACCAACTCACCCTGTCAATC